CTGGGCCTCCCAGGAGCCCGCGAGGGCGGTGACGATGGCGCAGTTCGCAGCCCCCCCCGGGGAGCCGCCAGGTCTCGGCTGGGTGCGCGTGCCCACCCACTCCTCGGGGCCCCCCCGGAGGCACTGCAGATAGGCGACCATTGCGCAGCTCGGCCCCCCCCCCTGGAGCCGCGGGGCTCGGCTGGAGGGGCGCACTCCCCCACTCCGATGCTCCCCCCCCCCCCGAGAGCACGCGAAAGTGGCGACAGTTGCGCAGAGCGCTGCGCCCCATAGAGCAGCGAGGTCTCGGCTGGATGCGAGTGCCCCCCCCCGCCCCTCCCTCCGCTGGGCCAGGCAAAGGCGGCCCGAGAAGCCTCCGCAATCGCCCCAACGCGGCCCAAGAGGCCCACAAGAGAGTCCCAGCATGGCCCACGAGGCCGCACGGTGGCCCACGAGGCATTCAAGACGGCCCAAAGACGGCCCGAGAGGGACTCCCGTGGGACCCACTACGGCCTTAGAAGGCTCTTCGACGGCATGAGATGGCCGCGCGTCGGCCCCCATACGCCCACCATGCGCCCAAGGGGGCCGCACGGCGGCCCAAGAGAGCCCCGGGACGGCGCACGTTGGCCCGAAGGCGGCCCACGAGGGTCGCGGGAGCCCTCAACACTGCCTCAGAGGAAGCCCACCCAGCCCCAAGACGGCCCAAACAAGTCCCACGAGAGCTCCGCAGATAGGTGACGACGAAGGGTGCCGCATGTGACGACGTTCCTCTTCCTCTTCCTCGTCCACCTGCTCCTGCTCCTTCTCCTCCGCCTGCTCCTCCTCCTCCTCCTCCTCCTCCTCCTCCTCCTCCTCCTCCTCCTCCTCCTCCCCCTCATTATCCATCATCATCATCATCATCATCATCATCATCATCATCATCATCATCATCATCATCATCATCATCATCATCATCATCATCATCATCATCATCATCATCATCATCAGCATCATCATCATCATCACCAGCTCAGCAGCAGCATCATCGTTACCATCATCCTCATCACCCTCGTCAAAAATCACCATCACCATCATCAGCGTCATCATCATCATCATCATCATCATCATCATCATCATCATCATCATCATCAACATCATCATCACAGGGATCACTACCGTCATATCCATCCTCCTCGTATTCCCCCTCCTACTCCTCGCCCGCATCCTCAACCGCATCCTCATTCCCAATCCCTTCCTCCCCCTCCTCCTCCTCCTCCCTCCTCCTCCTCCTCCTCCTCCTCCTCCTCCTCCTCCTCCCCCTCATAATCATCATCACCCTCGCCACCACCACCAGCATCACCATCATCACAATCAGCATCAGTATCATCATCATCAGCAGCAGCACCACCACCATCACCATCACAGTCACTATCATCATCACCATCATCATCTCCATCATCAGCATAATTCTCCCACCCCCGACCTCCTCATCACCCGAGGGGTGGTCTTTTCAGGTAGGCAGAAGTCATGTTAGATGCCTTTCGATGGCGAGCGAGCGCTTCGATGTGTTCAATGAGAGTGCCCCGCGACCTCTCGACCCCTTCCCCCCAGCCGCTTTTCCGTCCCGAGCCGTTTTTGAGGGCGGTCCGAAGCCCGAAAGCGGCCCCGAGAAGGCCGCAGGTGGTTAGGGTCCACTAGCCCAAACTTGAAGCCTGTTGGACGTGTCCCACCCACCCATGACCCAAGACATCCTGATCCCAAAACGACGACGACGATACCGATGACGAAGACGACGATATCGATCTCAAAACGACGACGACAACGACGACGACGACGACGACGACAGTCGCGCAAAGTCTTCTGGGAAGCCGCTGCAACGGCGATGCGGCACGCGCGCGCGACGACGAGATTTGAAGAACAACGTATGTTTACGCGAGTCCCTGTGCGTCGCAGGGACGCCGCCCAGCGGCGGTGAGATTGCATGGAGTGGCTGCGCAACGAGCGCGGGATAGCTCGTTGCCTCGAGGAGACGGATCCCCAGTTCGCATCCTTAGCACTGCGGCACGGTGCGCGAAGGCCGATGCAAGGGCGATGCGACGCGCGCACGCGAAGCGTGAAGGGTGCGCCCTGCGTGTTGCAAAAGCTCTCGGAACACCATTCCTGGCACTCCGAGGGCAAGGATCTGCGCGAGGGGTGCGCCGAAATGGGGGGCGAAATAAGGGGGCGCATCAGGAGCACGGTGGGCATTTGGGGGATTTCAATCTCTCTCGGCTCTTGGCTCTCAGGGTCAAGGTGGTGATGGGTATCGAGGAAGGGCTGGGGCCTTCGGAAATTCGGGGGCGTCCAAAAGGGTGGCGACTCCAAGGGGGGGGGGGGGGGGGGCGCAGCCGACCCGAGGCGCGCGCGCGCGCGGACGAGGGGGGACCATGGGACGCATGGAAAGAAGAAGAGGAGGCCACGAAATGCGAGGAGACACCGTGGCCCCAGCCATGGCATATCCCCTCCCCCCCCCACACTTCACTCACTCTTGGCGGTTGCTTGGAGGGTGCTCCCTGCTGCCATATTGGGCCCCCTCCTGCAGGCGCCGTCTGGCACTGCAGGGAGAGGACCGCTCCGAGAAGGGGCCGATCACTGCTGAGGGGGCCGGCGAGGTACGAGGCATCCCCCCCCCCCAGCCATCTCCCCCCCCTCCCCCTTGGCCGCCCCCGGGGGATCCCAGCGGAGGCCTCCGGGAGTCTGGGGGAGCCTCCGGGGGGGCCTGCTAAGCTCGGGCTCCGGAGGCGTCTCGCCGAGCAGGAAAGAAAAAGGGGGGGGCAAGACGAGGGGGGGTGGCAGGAGGCAGAGCAGGAGGGTCCAACGTATCTCAAGCTTGGCTCGGAGTTGTTCTGACGGCGTCGGCCTCGCGGGGCCTGCCTGGGCCCGGGGGCCGTCGAGAACGACTCTGGATGGACAGCTGGTCCTGGGGAAGCGGACGGGACCCCTGGGGGGCCCCGTGCCCACAGAGAACAGCACCTCGGATCTCCGGGGGGGGGGTATGGTGGGAGATGGAGTATGGAAGACGGGAGAGTGAGACAGAGCGGGGAGGCGGGGGGAGGGGGAGGAGGCGAAGTGGGACGGCAGGAGGTGGGAAGAGGAGGAGGAGAAAGAGGCGGAGGCGGGGAAGGAGGAAGAGGAGGGGGAGGAGGAAGAAGGGTCCAGAGGGGGAGAAGGAGGAGCCCTCGAGGCGCTGGCCGCGCCTTTGAGGCGGAGGCCCGGTGGGTGCCCCCCGCAGGCGCTCTCTCTGAGAGGCCCCGGGCGGCTGGAGACGGAGCCCGCGAGCTCTCCCGGACAGAGCGCCCGCCTCCGCGTTCCTTCCCTCTCTCTCTCTCCCGCTCTCCCGCTCTCCCGCTCTCTCACGCTCTCTCTCTCTCTCTCTCTCTCTTTTCGGGTGTTGCTATGCCATGTCCTGGCCCAGGGTGTCCCCCGCCGTTCGCGCCCTCTTGTGGAGCACCTCGGGCCCTCTCTGGGCATGGTGAGGGGGTGCTCCGGAAGCCACCTGGACCTCCCCAGGGAAATTGGGGGCACATTGGGCAAAGGACGCATCTGTTATCTCCCTCCTCCGCCTACCCCCTCCTCCTCCTCCTCCTCCTCCTCCTCCTCCTCCTCCTCCTCCTCCTCCTCCTCCTTCCCCTCCTCTTCTCCCCGCCTCCTCCTCCTCCCTCCTCCTCCTCCTCCACCCTCGTCTTCCTGTTCCTCCTCCTCCTCCTCCTTCTCCTCGTCTTCCTCTTCTGTCTCTCTCTCTCTCTCTCTACCTCTCTCTCTATCTATCTTTTCACAGTCCAAACATCCAGAGTTAGCCTCTGTTGGGTCAATCAGAGGAAACGCTATTCAAACGGGTCCAACACGAGGCCGAGCTAGGCAGAAGCCGCCCAGGCAAAGAAATTCGCCTCCATGCAGGCAGAGTCGGTTCCGACGCTGTGACTCTGCAGGGGGACCACTCGAGTCTCCGAGAGGTTGTATGCTTATGCTCTTTGTCCCTTATCCTTCCTCGTCGCTTCACTGTACGACTGAAGCCCCTCACCCCCTCTACGCAAGCCTCCTGCCAGCATGGCAGGCAGGCGCCGAGGGCAACACGTCCGTGCGCCTGGAGCCCGCTGCTGCTCTCACTGTCTGGGGCGCCTGACCTTTGTACACGACGCCAACCCCGACTGGGGGCGCAAGTCTGTTGAGACGACGGAAGGACGAGGACAGATCTGGATGGGGACACAGTCGACCCGTATCAGAAGGACGCACGACAAGGATGCAAGGGTTTTGGAAGGCCATGTCGACACCCTGCGAGCGGGGGCGCGGCCAGCGTAATTAGGCGGCCAGGGATTGGCCGAAGGGGAAGGATGCGAGGGTCACTTTGGAAAGTCTCTGCCGTAATATCATCGGGTCCACCGTACATGCTTACATCGGAGGTCTCTGAGTAGACGAGCGCGTTGCGACACTCGCAGAGTGACTGCTCGCAGATGGCCTGGATCCGCCGGGGGGGACCTACGAGACATGGCATCGAAGCAGACGTGTGCGTCTCGAACGCGCCCGGTGACTCAGAGCTGGCCGATCCAGACGACGCGTCGGGCGCCACGGCCCTTCCCGAGGGCGCTGCGGCGCTTCGAGAGCTCTCCAGAGCCACGGCGCCTCACCCCCAGCGAACGGCCCGAGCTGTGCACGCCCGGGCCCGGGGGAGGACTGGCCGCTGCTCGATTGCTTCGCAGCACGGCCACGGGGAGGGCGCCTTCTCCTTTCTTCCTTCCCGCGAGACCCCTCGCTCTCTTCCCTCCTGCGGCCCCCTCCGGGGCCACCCCGCACCGGCCACACGCCGCTGCACACTCGCTGGGCTTGTCTGCTCAGCTTGCCGGCTGCTTCCGCGCGCATCGGCTCGCCACTGTGCGCTCGCGCCTGTGCGCCCCCCAGCCCTCTTGGGAGCGCGAGGCTGTGAAACTCCCAGCTAGACTGCTGTCCTGTTGGTGCAGTATGCCCTTCCTCTTTCTCCTCCCTCCCCTCCCCTTCCTCCTCCCTTCCCCTCCTCCTCCCGGCTCCGCAACGTGCGTGGCGCCCCGCCAAAAAAACTGCGAGCTTGAGCGCCAGGCCCTCGCGGCCGAGCCACTAAAGAGGCAGCTTGCGCATCACTACCATCCTGAGCAGTCCCCTCGCCTGCGCCAGCTCCGCCAGCAAGCCGAAGCACTCGCCCCGCGTGCCGTTGACCTCAACAATCTGGTCGCGAACCTTGACGCGCTGCAGAGGGTTCTCCGCATTCCACCGGTCCACCTGGCCGCCCTCCGCGATGGCTACGATCGAGAGGGACACCCTCCTCGCCGATGGGACGAGTTTGAGGCCCACAGTGCCGGCGCCCTTGTCGATCTCGCAGCGTATACCTGGAACCTCCTGGTTCGACGGAGTGATGCAGAGACTCAGCATGGACCCCTTGAAATCGCTGTTTGGCACAACGAGGGGGACATCTCCAATGAACCCCTCGGGGTAGATGCTGCTGTGCTCAAGCACGGCTTGGCCCAGGAGACCCCCTTTGCTCTTCACGCTGAACATCAAGGCATCGCTGCTCTCGAACACCCCAACTTCGAATGTATGATTCCAGAACGGATTGGCCGAGGCACGTTGGGGTGGAGTGTGAAACGCACCTTCGGGTTTGCCATGTATCTCGCATACACAGTATAACTCGGATTCAACGCCGTCGGTTCCTTGAAGGTCAGACGCGCCGACAATGCACACCTGGAGACAGTTTGTGTCCGAACGAAAAACATATGGTTCTGTGCGGCGCTGCCTACTGCTTCTGAAGTACGGCTGACCGTCGCCGCACGCGCCTACATATCCATGAAAATACCCGAGACGTGGAGCATCACCGAGTGAAAGAGCGCGTTCTATCCCATCACAATGCGGATAAACTTCCCAGCCAAGGGTTGGTGGATGTACAACACCCACATGGGCACTATCCCGCTTGTATAGGTGGCGGCCTTCCCGCTCCGTAGGAGACAGAGTCACGACCCAACGATCTGGAGTATCTGGGGCCTGCCTTCGAATGTAGATGGTACCCAGCTCCACCGAGCTCTTGACGAACACCTCTGCCCGGGCGAACGGCGTCGCCAGCTCGTAGGTGCCGTTCACGTCTAGCAGGCCCGCTCCTGAAAGGTGCACGAGTTTCAAGACCTCGCTCGCGTTGGCCTTGTGAGCATGTTTGATTCCGCGTTTCATCACTGGGCGGAAAAGGGGGGCGGGGAGGAGGGGGGTCTGCCAGAACCTCTGCTCACTGCAATGTTTGCAGCAGTGCGGCCGATGGAGGTAGGACCCCACCTGCCCGAAACATGCGCCAAAAACAGCCAAGATCTACTCCACGGGGGGGGGGAGGGTGCGGGCAATACTTATGTCTATATCCACTGCAATATGGAGTTTCGGGCTCCCTTCCCAAGAAACCCGAGGCGCACTGGATATGGATAAATTTGCCCCCTAGAGGCTCGATGTTTATCCATATCCAGTGCGCCTCGGCCCTTGTGGCGCCGCTTCCAGAAAAGTCCAAGAGGCACTGGATATGGACAGGAATCTTGCCCGCAGGGGGGGGGGAGGGGCGAGGGCTGGCGCCCATCGGCAAAACAATGCATAAGAAAACGCCCACCTTCATGCGCACGGGAGCGGGAGCGGCTCCATCGGCACGGTTCTCCTGGGCGGCCTCGAAGGGCCGACCCGCCAGGAGCGCGGCCGCCCTCTGCCCCATGGGGGGCGCGCGGGCCGGCCGGCCCTCCCCTGGAGCAAGACGGAGGGGGCCTGAGCCAGAGGGCACACGGGAGGGCACCATGGGTTGGGCGCACGAATTATCCGGGGTAACTCGGGTCCGGGGTAACTCGGGTTTGGATTCCCGAAAAAGGAACCCGAGTTAGCCCTGACCCGAGTTACCCCTGATGATGTGGGGCTCTGGACGCCCGAATTATCCGGGGTAACTCGGGTCCGGGGTAAATCGGGTTCGGAATCCCGAAAAACGAACCCGAGTTAGCCCTGACCCGAGTTACCCCTGATGATTCGGGGCTCTGAATGGGCTGTCTTAGGTGCCCGCTCGAGATCGTCGGGCTGCCTTGGAGGCACCTGGGAGCTCTCAGGAAGCCTCTGCGGAACCTCCTGGGCTCTCTGGGAGCCGCGGAGGCTGAACAAAGACCCAGGCGGTCCCTTCACGCGTGCTGATGAGCACCATCGTCGGGGGTGTATGAAGCTCTCTCGGGTCGACTTGGAGTGGCATTGAGGCCCTCTTGGACCGCCTTCGACAATCGACCACACGTAAGAGTGACCCTAGGCTGGAATGACCTTTGGTACACGGCTTCAGGGGCGCCCGTGGGGGCCCAACGCATTCGCGCAAGCCGGCGTTGCCGCGCAGCATCACCGATCGGCGGGGCGCCACTCGAAAGATTTTTCGTGTCAGCGGGCAACCGCGGAATTCCGCCGATTGAGTTCGAACGCCCCGAGTGGCACTTCGAAAGCGCTGCGAAAGCAGATGCTGCCCGGGGCCACCGCGATGAGGTCTGGCACCGCAGGGCTCCATCGCAATGACGTCTGACCAGGCCCGGCGTCATGGCCAAAACCGGCTCCATCCGAGAGCCTGGAATGTGTTTGCATCTCTGTATTTAGCTTATAGTTATAAAGATCCCCATCGGTTCGAAAACAGATCCAACATATTCTTCTATATATATATATATATATATATATATTCAAAAATACTCAAAGATAACCAAAGATATCCAAAGATATTCAAGCAGACGTTCTGGCATTGGGGCTGGGATTCGGGACTGGTCCTGGGCCGGAAAACGCGCCGTCTGGTCCACCGGCTCTCCCTCGGGTAACTCATGCAAGCTGTAGGGTGCGACGCGTATGCGTGGCTGTCCATTGTAAGGGGCGGGCCCGAACCTGGCGCGCTCAAATGGGAGCGTGGTCACGCGATGCGGGTGTCGACGCGAGGTCAAGCTCATTCCACAAGAAAAATCACCCGCCCCCCTTTGGGCCAGCACCAAAGGTCACTCCGGGCGTGAGGGCGCTTTCTATCCAGTCATCCCCCGTCAAGCCGAGCCAAACACGGGTGCGGACGAAATTCCTGGGCAATCTGGCGGGGCTCTTGGGGCCCTCATGGGGCACCTGGAGCTGTCTTGGGACACTATCAGGACCGGGTAGTAGTAGTAGTAGTAGTAGTAGTAGTAGTAGTAGTAGTAGTAGTAGTAGTAGTAGTAGTAGTAGTAGTTGTTGTAGTAGTAGTATTATTATTAGTAGTAGTAGTAGTAGTCGTAGTAGTAGTAGTAGTAGTAGTAGTAGTCGTAGTAGTCGTAGTAGTAGTAGTAGTAGTAGTAGTAGTAGTAGTAGTAGTAGTAGTAGTAGTAGTGGTAGTGGTAGCGCTAGTAGTAGTAGTAGTGGTGGTAGTAGTGGTAGTAGTGGGAAGTAGTAGTAGTAGTAGTTGTAGTAGTAGTAGTAGTAGTAGTAGTAGTAGTAGTAGTAGTAGTAGTAGTATACTAGTAGTAGTAGTAGTAGTAGTAGTAGTAGTAGTGTAGTAGTAGTACGGTAGTAGTAGTAGTAGTAGTAGTAGTAGTAGTAGTAGTAGTAGTAGTAGTAGTAGTAGATAGTAGTAGTAGTAGTAGTAGTAGTAGTAGTAGTAGTAGCAGTAGTAGTAGTCGTAGCCGTAGTAGTAGTAGTAGTAGTAGTCGTAGTCGACGACTACTCTCTACTACGACTAACTAATTACTACTACTACTACTACTAACTACTACTACTACTTACTACGACTAGTAAGGTAGTAGTAGTAGTAGTATTGTAGTACTGTAGCAGTGGTATAGGTCGTAGGGCATGTAGAAAGTAGTAGTAGAGTAGTCGTAGTGTAGTAGTCCATATAATCAGTATAGACAGAAAGTAATAGTATAGTAGTAGTAGTAGTAAGTAGTATTAGTAGTAGTAGTAGTAGTAGCAGCAGTAGTTAGAGTATAGTTAGAAGGTGTAGTAGTCGTAGTCGAGTCGTAGTCGTAGTAGTCGTAGTAGTCGTAGTAGTAGTAGAGTAGTAAGTAGTAGTAGTAGTAGTAGTAGTAGTAAGAATAAAAGTAGTACTAGTAGTAGTAGTAGTAGTAGTAGTAGTAGTAGTAGTAGTAGTAGTAGTAGTAGCAGTACGGATACAAAAAGACGTAATACAAGAAGTAGTAGGAGTAGTAGAAGTAGGTGTAGCAGTCGTAATGATAGTAGTAGTAGTAGTAGCAGGAGTAGTAGTAGTAGTTGTTGTTGTAGTAGTGGTACTAGTATAGTAGTAGTAGTATTAGTAGCAGTAGCGGTAGTCGTAGTAGTAGTAGTAGTAGTAGTAGCAGCAGTAGTAGTAGTAGTAGAAGTAGCACAAGTAGTAGTAGTGGTAGTGGTAGTGGTAGTGGTAGTGGTAGTGGTAGTAGTAGTAGTAGTAGTAGGAGGAGGAGGAGGAGGAGTAGGAGTAGTAGTAGTAGTACGTAGAGTAGTAGTAGTAGTAGTAGTAGTAGTAGTAGTAGTAGTAGTAGTAGTAGTAGTAGTAGTAGTAGTAGTAGTAGTAGTAGTAGTAGTAGTAGTAGTAGTAGTAGTAGTAGTAGTAGTAGTAGTAGTAGTAGTAGTAGTAGTAGTAGTAGTAGTAGTAGTAGTAGTAGTAGTGGCAGCAGTAGTAGTAATAGCAGTAGTAGTAATAGTAGTAGTAGTAGCAGCAGTAGTAGTAGTAGTAGTAGTACTACTACTACTACTAGTACTCGTGGTAGTAGTAGTAGTAGTAGCAGTAGTAGTAGTAGTAGTAGTAGTAGTAGTAGTAGTAGTAGTAGTAGTAGTAGTGGTAGTGGTAGTGGTAGAAGTAGTAGTAGTCGTCGTCCCGTAGACGGCATGGTGCGTGGGCTGCTTTGATGGGCTGCTGTGCTGGGCTTGCGGTGCTCCTCGGCGCGGGCGGGCTCTGGGGTGCCTCTTGGCCAGTTGTGGGCCTCGCGGGCGATGTTCTGGGACCGTCAGGGGGCTCTCGCGAAGCAGTGAAGGACCTTTGCTGCATAGCTCTTGAAAGCAGTCTCGAGGAGCCTTGGCCACTGGGGATGGCCTTCCTGTGCTCTTGCTGGACACACAGCGGGCAGCAGGAAGACCAGAACACGAGTGCCCCGGAATGCTGCGCAGCACGAGCCCTTCCAGACGGGCGACACCGAGCTTCCGGCACGCCCGATGAGGGCAAAGCCTCGGCATCCCGAGGCCACGCAGGGCTGCATCTGCGAGGCACCCGCTCCCAGGCAGGGCAGCCAGACTGCTGGGAGCCGGCGGCCGCGGTCAGAGAGCGACTCCTGACGCACTGAGGGCTCCAGAAACTGACTGACCACGGAGATCCTCTCCCGCCGCAAATGCTCCACCACCAACAATCATGCAAGGACCGGCGGCCAGGAACCGGGGGGCATCAGAGGCCGTGGCAGAACGCCGCCGTCGGCGGATCTGCCCTGGCCAGAAGAGACGGGCCCAGAAGCAAACGGGTCCTGCACCCCGGGGCCATCCCCAAGACAACCGTGCTTCGTCCTGGGGTCTGGACGTCCACCTCACCGTGCACGCCCCCCGCACTTCGCCGTGCGATTCCCGGCACCCGCACACGGACCACATGTCCCGAGTGCGGCCTCAGCTCCCCGCGCGCCTCTCCCTCCTCTCTGTCCTCTCCCCCTTGTGCAGCATCCGCATGCCGTGCGTCCCGCGCCGTGCCCTGACCGCGTCTTGGCCCCAGGCCCCAGCCGACGAAAAAGTCTCGTCCTGGGGCACCCTCTGACGGCCCTGGGCCCCAGGGAGGGCTCCGGGGAGGCCGAAGACGAGGCACAGCCTCGAGGAGCCGCTTCCCGCACCCCTTGGGCCCCCCGTTGCGCCCCTCCGACGCCTGGCGCTGCCACCTCTCGGATGCGCGGGCCCTCGGCAGCCCCGGCGGTCGTCGGCCACACGCAAGGGTGGCCCTGGGCAAAGAGCAGCCTCTGATGCGCGACGCTCGGGGGCCGCGGGGAGGCCGAACAGGAGCGCGCAGGCCGCTGCGACCGCATCGCGCTGAGCCATCCCGGGGGGGCCCAGGCGTGCCTGCACCAAAGGTCGCTGCGGCGAATTGGCCACTCGTGCGTATGGCCAGCGCTTCACAAGAGCAGAGTCTTATCCTGAGCCCTCTGCGGCCAGTCCGGGCAGGGCCGTGGGGCCCAGCGGAGACGGCCAGAGGCGAAGGCGGAGAAATGCCTCCAGATACCCATCGGTCGAAAGAAGTAGGTAGAAAGAAGCATGGAGTAGGAAGGCGGATAAAGTAGATTGGTTGTGGGCCCGCCCAGAGAGTAACAAAGCGCAGAACAAGCAGATAGGTTCTTGAAGTACGAAGGTGCTTGAAGTAGACTGGGCTCTGGGAATCCAAAAGCATAATACCTACTTTCAACGACCAAGGGGTAGATGTTTGTCCATGCGTCGGAGGCAGGGGCTTCTCTGGAGCTCTCGCTCCCCCCCCCCGGATCCACTTCTCGTGCCGAGCCGTTGGTTTACGGCCCCCGGGCCAGGAAGCCAACCTCCAGACGCCGAAGGCGGTGCACGAGAGTTCCAGCGCGGCCTCTTCGAGTCGCCAAGGGGGTGTGCGCTTCCCCTCTTCCCCCCCCCCCTGCCTGCCCCATCCACTCGCCCGGAGCCTTCATCTGCACGGCCTGGAAGCTGGCGCGGTCGATCGCAAGCATGTAGCAGCCATCAGTCATGGCCTGGGGCCGCGGCAGCCCCCACGGCAGACGACGACTCGGGGAGCAGGAGGAGGAGCAACAAGAAGCAGGAGGAGCAACGGCGCGAGAACCGGGGGGAGGAGGAGGTCGAGGAGGACTACAAGGAGAGGGGGCGAAATACAGCCTTGAGAAGAAAGAGGAAAAAGGAGGGAGTGCAGGGACAAGCTAGGCGCGCTCGCGCCATATCTGACACCCTACCCATCCAACCCATCTCTTTCCATCGCGCTGAAAACCACCGGCCCTCTGAACGTAAGTGGTCCAGCGAGCGTATTCCCTCCTCTTCCAAAACCTTGCCTCCCTTCGGGAAGGGGCGTCCTTCCCCGACTACGCGAGACGTACCCAGCCCCTTCTCCATGCGGGGCGACTATCTGCGTGAACGCTCCATACAAAAGAAAACATCCAGCGCCCTGCACCCTGTGATGCAAAAGCGCCGCGCGCTATATGACAGGGGCGCTGCGCGCCACGTGGGCACGCGCAACATGGGCGCCCAGCACTCAGCCGTGCCTCCCAGGAGCCCACGACAGCGGCATCGGTCGCGCAGTTTGCGACAATGGCGCAGTTCGCAGCCCCCGACGGAGACGCTAGGTCTCAAATGATCTGCGTTGCCCTGCGCCCAAGAAAGTGGAGACAGCTGCGCAGTTCGCAACCGTAAAGGTAGCAGCGAGGTCTTAACTTATCTGCGCTGTCCTGCACTCCGTTGTGCCTCCAAGGAGCCCAAGACAAGTGGCGGCAATGGCACAGTTCGAAGCCCCCGACGGAGCCGCGAGGTCTCAAGCGATCTGCGCCGCCCTGCACTCCACCTTGCCTCTCAGGAGCCCACGAACGTGGCGACAGTTGCGCAGCTCGCAGCCCCCAAGGGAGCAGCGAGGCCTCGCATGATGTGCACTGCCCTGCAGTCCGCCGTGCCAGCTGCGCAGATCGCAGCTCCCGATGGGAGCAGCGAGACCTCAAATGACCTGCGCTGCCCTCACCTCCGCCGTGCCTCCCAGGAGCACACAACAGTAGCGATGGCTGCGCAGGTCTCAGCCACCAGGGGAACGCACAGGGTGCAGGAGAGGGCAGGCGGGGACAAGGAGGATGAAGGGGACGAGGAGGAGAGAAGGGACCGAGGGGAAGGACGGGCACCACAGTGCTCTGCTCAGAAGGAGAACCCAACACAAGAGGGTGGGGAACCTCCCTGGGCTTCGATTGGGAGGAGGTTCGCGATTTTTCAGATGGTACTTCTCGGTCCAAGATGACTTCAAGAGGGCCTTCGATGCTCCAAGATGGCATTCCAAGATGGCCAACGATAAACGAGGACGGTTCAAGATGGCCTTCATCATGCCTTCCAAAGGCCCCAAGGTAACCACCAGCTGTGTTCAAGAGCTCTCGGAGCCCTCCGGGACACCCAAAGAGCAGGAGGGGCCCAAGCCGTCCCCAGGACGGCCCCAAGAACGCCCCATAGCGGCAACGATGGCCCCAAGAAGCGACGTTGATGATCCCAGATGGGGGAGGGAAATTTAGGACCCCCCCTCGTTTAACCGACGCCCTCCAAGATTACCCCAAGAAGCTCTCCAAGGCTCCCAGGACGCCCACATGAAGGCCCATCTAAAGCCAAAGTACCCTTCGACAGAGCCTCAGAGGACCCTAATACTCTCCAAACTCGCCCCAAGAGGGCACCAAGAGAGCGCCCAGAGAGACCCAAGAGGATTCTAAGAAGGCTCGGACAAACCTTAAGGTGGCTGCTAGAGTCCTCGTCCTCCTCGTATTCTTCCTCCTCCTCGTCCTCCTCGTCTTCGTTCTCGTGGGAGGAGGAGTTGCTCCGATTTCTCCTCTACACAGCGGTTGGCGCCCTCGGTGTAAGGAGACGCTGTGTACGTTTGGTTTGTTTTGTTGGCTTGGCCGGGGGAACCAGGCAACACTGCGTTTTGTCAGTTGGTGCCTTTTGTTTTGGGAGGCTCAGGGGGGAGCGGGGAAGCACGAGGAGGAAGAGGATGAGGAGAAGGAGGGGGAGGATGAGGAGGAGGGGAGCACTGGGGCCCCCAAAACCCATGAGTAACGCTTCTGTGTCTCGAGGGCACCAAACGCTGTGCATGACTAGTCCTGCGCTGCTGCAGCGAGGGAGAAGCGGAACGGTGAAGGAGGAGGAGGAGGAGGAGGAGGAGGAGGAGGAGGAGGAGGAGGAGGAGGAGGAGGAGGAGGGGGGGGCAAGGAGAAGAGGAGGAGGAGGAGGAAGGAGGAGGGGGGGCAAGGAGGAGGAGGAGGAAGAGGAGGAGAGGAGGAGGAGGAGGAGGAGGAGGAGGAGGAGGAGGAGGAGGAGTTGTGTGTTGGATAAAGAACAGAGGAAAAAAGGAACAAAGAGGGAACGGAGAAGTCTGAGGAGAAGGAGGCGGAGGAGGAGGAGGAGCGCATTGTGCCCCCTCACCCCAAAGCCCAAGAAAAAAGAGACACACCGAACAGTGCCTCCTTAGTTCCTATGCCAGAACCACCCAAACCAACATAACTATACAACGCTTCCTTGCACCGAAGGTGCCAGACGCTGTGTATGTTTGGTTCTGCGTTGCTTTTAAAGAACAGGAGTCTGAAAGGAGGCATAGGACGAGGCGGAGGAAAAAGGGAGAATATGGGCGAGGAGGAGGCGGCGGAATTGTGTTCGGAGGAGGAAGAAGGGACACAGAGACAGAGGAGGAACGGAGACGGAGGAGGAGGAGGAGACGAGAAAACGATCAGTGAAGGTTTTGTGGTTCTGGTGGTTTGGGGTGTGCTGGGTGAGAACCATTATTGTGCACAACTTGGTGCTGGAACACGTTTGTCCAAAAAGCATGCACGCGCTCCTGCAAACAGGTACGATAAACATAGATGCCCCCACATGTCCATCAAACGCGACCAAGCGGACCTCTTCGCGCGGGCATGTCGAAATCATACGAACGCCCTTGCGCGCTTGCTGGGGGGGGTGGGGGCGGTCCTTGCCAAACGACACTATGCGGGCCACTCGCGCCCGTCGGCCGCGCGCGCAAGTCGAAATCCTACCAAACGCCTTCGCCACCGACGCGTGAACACCATCATTTTCATCGGCGTGATCCGCATTTTGGCCTCGCCGTCGTCATCATCATCGGCGCCACCAGCCTCGATACTATCATCATCGTGTCTGATTTCGCCGTCGTCGCCTTCATCACAATCACCAACATCGCTACTATCATCATCGTGTTTGCCGTTGTCGACGTTGTCATGATACCGCGCCCGCAGACACCGACTCGCACTGATGAGCCCGCACGCCAGCGCGGCCTGCGAGGCGCGTTGGGGAAACCCCAACGGTCAGCGCCACCGTGGCCGCGTCGGTCGCGCCAGACTAGCTGGTCTGCGCGCGAGCCTGCGCGCGCTACCAAGGCCACAGCGACGCGCCAGCCTGCGCCAGGCAGTCATCGCAATCGCCGCCGCATGGGTTTTGCAAACTAAGTTGCGGGCGGGTGGGTGGGATGATTAGGCGAACATTGGGGTTGACAACTCACGGCGGACACAAATTATTCGCACCACATAGATTGCACC